ATCCTCCTGGCACTGGAGCGAATTAAAGTTTATTTTCATTCCTGTTTATTCTTTCTTCTCTTTTTAGCTAATTCATCTTGTTTCATTTAGTATCAATGGTTTTTCCTTTCTATTTGGCCACTTTGGTGGAAGCGGGGGACACAATTCATTCTAGCCATGTGGCCTTTTGGTAATAAGAGTAAAGCTTCAGGCAAAGCCCAGATCCTAAAATGCGAACAATGCAGGCACTCCATGCCCGTGTTCAACCCTCCCAAGGTAGGGGTCAACCTACTGTGACCCCAACCGCTCCTTTGCCTCTCCAGCAGGAGAGGCCGCACAGGCCAAACGGCGTCTGCACCCTGGTGCCGAGCGTACCTGCGTGTGATATTGTGACACTCGACTGCTTAATGCATAATGTTTACATAAGGCTGTATACTTCGAAAGTACTCTTAGTAACCTTAATATAAGATGTATTGTATTGCAGTGTTTATTACGAAGGAACTGTGATGCAAACTTGAAACCATGTCTTCACCCAGCAATTCAAAATGACTAAGATTCTATCCATTGTCTTATTTCAGACTTTCTTGTGAAAAATGTGTGTCTCGCTGTTGGCTGACTGAAGCACACAATGATTAATTAGAGCTGGGCCAATTCTGTACAGTTAGTATGAACTTGCCACTTCTCTGGCTGTTTCTCTACCATCCCTCTGACCGGCCAAAAATTGTTCCAGAATACCGGGCACTTGCTCTGTTACCAGGAGCAGCAGGTATATGTATGGCCTCACCCGTCGAGATTGTTGTTTTTTAAAGATGATGAACTTTTAAACATAGGAGGCTGTCCCAGCTGTGTTGGCATAGAGCTGGATTGCTCTTAGAGGCGAGATCTGCAGTTAGTCAGGCAGATACGCTAGTCACAGAATACAAATTGGGAAGCTCGGGCAGCCCTCATAGCTTTGAGAGAGCACGGAGGTGAGCAATTACGTTTTAGGGACAGCAAAAACTTCTTTTCCCACAACTAACCCCTCTTGTAGACAGCCAAAGCAAAGAACGGATACGTAGCATGTGTGATCTACTACTCAGTGAATACACATTTCAATGTCATTTTTGAAAAAGCAGTGCATACATTTTCAAACATGCAAAGCCAAATGTCTTTTTTAAAAAGTTAAATATTATGTAAGATCCAATTTGTTAAGTATCAGTTATCATCAGAGCATTTTAATATATGCTGTATTTACTTTCATAATTTTTGATTATGTCAACAGAATCACATAATGAAGATATAGTAAAATCTTACTGTATTTCTAACTGGAACTCAGAATAATGGGACGAGTTCTTTATTTAAAAAAATGAGCTCCAAAAAGAATTGTGTCCCCTACCTTAGGTTACCACGCTCCAACGTTCGTGCAAAGGATGCTCTATTAAGGCGCTACTGTTAGCTGACCAACAGAAGCTGGAAGCAGAAATGGATGACGGTCTAATGGAAAGGGCGCAAGCTGCAGCATTTGTGCTGTGCTGACACTGAACCGGCTCATTTCAATTGATTTCTTTGATGCACAAAATATAAAACTGTAGTAATTCATAATTCATCTATAAATTCATCATTATAAAAATACTTTTTTTCTCCCCTTCCATCCCAGCTTCAAATCATCAAAGACACCTTTATTTGCAAACAGAACTAAAGTCAAAACGTTTATTAATAGTTATTTTACAGGTGCCTGAACATTCATAGTATGTATAATAAATGATGATAGCACATGACCTGGCTGTAAAAAACCCTCTGTAAAGTCCTCTCCCTCTCCGTCCCTCCTCACCCGGCGGCATAGGCAGGATGCTGCGGTACAGCAGCAGGAAGCGGGAAAGCGGGACGTCTTTATGTCAGTATTGCTGTCAAAGGTGACAGATCCTCGGGCCAGGGCCGGCGAGGCTGGGAATTACCACACTTGTAGTTCAGGACTAAGTCTGTGCACGTGTGCACACACGTATGCACAGGAGCAGTTGTGGAGAGCAGCTGAGGCCATGAGGGAAATGCGTAACAATTCGGGTTAGCCCACAGTTTGTTACGTTACCAAAAATATTCTGTAAATAAATATATTGATGGGCCGCTTACTTGTAGATAGCAATTACTTAAACCAGTATTCAGCTTTTAATGCACAGCCGTGCATTTCTAAAGGAGAGTGTTCTTGCTGTGTATTACTATAGATCCAGATTTTAAATTGAGATTGGTCACTATTGATTCTGTTAGAGTTTATTATGATAGCAGTCTGCATTACACAAGATTCATAAAATTGCTGAAATACATCGTCCATTAACTTGCCTGCATTTAGCCAAGATCACCTTGTGTCCAGCGAACACCAACTTTATCGGCATAATGCCATTTCAAAGGCAATTTACAAACCAGGAGATGCTTTGTAGGAAACTGGAGCTGTCACCGAGGCCGATGCAGGGGGGCTGCGGGTGCTGCACCCCACCCCGGCAGTCCCCCCGCCTGCAAACACCCATCCCCAGCTGAGCTTCTGCAGCCCAGACACTGCATCAAAATGGGTTTTCAGTGTCCCTCTGCTCCGCCGCTTTGAGGAGGTGCTGAGGACACGGGCACAGCCAAAGTCCTGCTCCTCTCAGGCATTTGCATTTGAAAAAAAAACCCCAAAGCCAAAACCTCAAAGAGGCGACGTCCCTCTTGGGCTACCAGCGCTGTAGCCAGCCGGGGCCGTTCAGCTCGGTGAAGGCTGAATTGCCGACTGCCCTGCTCGACCCTTGGGCTGGAGGATATGGGTTCTCCAAAACTCTCCTACTGAGGTTGTTCCACTGTTTAAAAGACAAGATGAACAAGGGGGTGATAACCGTAGCCAAATGTGAAATTGTGTCCATGAGAAATTAAAAAAGCTCCATGTTGCCTGTGTTTGCTGTGCTGTGCCAACAGGAACGAGATCTCGGGGCCGTGCGGCTTTCTGAAAGCAGCACACACTGACCTGTACTGGGCATGGAACCACAGAGGACAGGGAAGGTTATTCGCCTGCTCTTTATAGCTTACTTTTACATATTAAAGACAATTAATTCTTCCCTTAGTCTTGTCTTCTCGGAGTAAACAATCCCATTGCCTTCTGCCTCTGAATGACAGGATCAACAGAGCCCTAGAAGATACGACATGAAAGCAATTTCCTCATTTTTCTTGCCTTTCGTGCTCTGTTGCAGTGCCTGAACTAGACAAAGTCTACACTGAGGCTTTTTATACTGCACAAAGGAAAAAAAAAATCCCGTGCAGTGTCTGACCTGTTGCCCGAGTGCCTGTGTGTCGGGTGGGCAAGGGGCGAGCTCTGGAACGCTGCGCTGCAGCGTGCGAATGTGCGTGGTCTGACTCCCAGGGGGGAAACGGCCCCTTGGCTCTACAGCCACCGGCCCGCACGCCGAACTGCATCAGGCACCCAACCACGCAACAGTTTTTGGGCCAGATCCCCGTGCAGGAGGGTGTCATTTGGAATATTCCTGAGGAGATGATAGAAAGTCAAATTAAATTTAAAAACAAAAAAAATTGAAATCTGCACTTTTATATCACCCATTCAATCGTAACTGGCCAAACCTGTTGCTTGTTCTGGCTTCAATATGTTTCTCCAACAAAAGTGTGAGTTACAAGCGTGCTCGTTAGGTTGAGCTGACACATAGAAAGCTCCGTGTCCTGGTTTGTCAGTATTTATCAGGAGCTACCTAATAAGGACTAACAGCAGATTCAGTCTCTGAAGTTTATCAGTTTCCTAAATCTCATTTGCCAGTACTTTGACATTTAAAACTATTCTGGGAAGGGCAAATTATAAATCACTGATGTGCTCATCACCCAATATCAATGCAGCCCTAAGAAATGTAGATCAGCCACTGAGGAAAAATGCTAAAATTGCCTTTAGAGAGACCAAGGAAAAATGCAAAAATGCTACCATTTCAAAGACTGAACTGTTTAGTTACTTTTAGTCTTTCTAAAATGCATCAAAGAGTTCTCTTCAAAATCTGCAACTCACAGGAGCAATACCAGAGTTCGGTCAATCAGTCCGAAGCGCGGCAGTACCCCGAGGACTGTTTCAAATAAGATTTGAAATAAGGTCCAATCCTCATTTCAGAGAATCGTGATGGAATAGCAACAAAAATTAATAAATAGTCAAAGGCAGAATTAAGTTCAGGTGCTGCAGTGTTTTACTCACACATGAGCTTTTATTAAGAGTGCGGGAGCACTCACAATTCCTGAGGCTCCTGTTTCTTCATCTCATTCAATTTTTGATTGTTTAATCAATGCCAGTGTGATTAATGCAGTTACTAGAATGCTTGCAGTAAAAATAATATGGAATAAACCATGTTTGTACACTGAAAGACCATTTTGATAATTAGTGTGATCACCTGTAAAACAGAGGCCGGCACGTTTTCTTGAGCTGACGCTGGGTTAAGCTGAAAGATTTCTTTTAGGAACGAAAAACCAGATTCTTCTTTTCTCTTGTATTACACAGCATAGTTTGAAGCTACACTTTGAAAGTTAGCAAAAGTCTGTTAACCAGAAAAAAAATCTAGTGATAAAAATAAATGAAATTCTGAATGCCATACATAAAGATATATAGTAGTATACATAATCATAGGAAATATATTCCCCATAGATCTATTTAAAGGGTTTTTTTTGTTTTTAAGTAACAGTGATTTAATTCAGGGTGTGTGTGTAAACATAAGTAGGCGTATATAAACATGAGTTTATAAGTAAATAAGTATTGTGCCTTTGACCCATGAATGAAAGTAAAGAGTGTACAGGTGATTACTTAATTCCACTTGGCTCAAACAGCTTTCCGTCACGTATTTTGGGAAAGCAATGTTTCGGGTGCAAAGTTCAGAATTTGGAACATACAATAATTAGGAAAATGTTTAATACCAACCCACCCTCTTTATTAAGTAATTTCTTCAAGTATTTTTAATAGTGCAAAATACTGTTTTGCATTAGTACAATAACTACGGGAATTCACAGTAAAAAAAAAAAATCTTAAAAGATTTCCAAAGTCAAACAAAAAAATTTTTAATACTGTATTTTTAGCAAGAACATTTTTAACAAAGAATGGGTACTTTAACTTAATATGGTACAACAGAGAAACCATACTTAAAAGTTTCCATTATCTAACACTCTACTGCATATTCATTTTTTCATCTTAAAAGACCAAAAGCCAAGCTGAACTGAGCATAAAAAAAAGCATCAATTATAATCCTCATATTACGTCAGCTATTAGGGTTTAGCTCACACTTTTGAATTGGTCATCTAATGAAAGGACAATTTTTACATCATTCTTTTAAAAAATGTACACACATTTCTTTTTAAAACGTAATATATATCGAGTATCTGCTTCAGTAAACAAAGCTTAATTTATAAACACAATCGAAACAGCTCCATGTTGAACAGTTTCAGTGATAAACTGGACTTGTATGATGTACAGCCAGTGAGGACCTTTGTGGCTTAAAATCATTGTGCCATTGCTATACAGTAATAGCTACCTCCTTAGAAAAAAAAAAAAAAGTTCTTTTTTGGGGGGGAAGGGGGAATAATTCCTGTATGTGCTTAAAAATACTAAAATTCCTTTCTATCTCCGGGGACCTAAAAATGATCTGTTGCAACAGGCTTGGTTTGGTATGGTAAGCTTGTAAAAAGTCTCAATATTTCTTAATGACAATACGGCAGTTTTCGATGCAGCAACAGTAAATTGCTTGAAATTGTCCTTCAAGTTTCATGCTACAAATCCTGTTCTTCACACAGTACTGAAGGCATCAAAGGTTGGAAGGGACGTTTTTCATGAACTATATAGTCTTCAAATAGTGATCATTATACATTTTTCAACAATAGGTGTTTCCTTCAGTACATAATAGTAGGTTTGATGTATGTTCTGTTTTCTGGAGGGAAAAAAAAAAGAGAAGAAAAAAAGTCAATTACACAGTTAGACATTTTATAATTAATTGAAACCGAGGTGGGTTTCCTTCTTCATGGACTTTTTTTTTCTCAAGCCAAATTATCAGATCCACAAGCGATATAAACTATCCATCACGTGAGTACATTTTACAGAGGAAAAAGAGGCAGCAGATGACAAAGCCCTGCGCAACCCTGGAGAGGCGCACGTGACGCAGAGCCAGGAGCCGGTCTCTGCACTGAGCACCTTCCAACCCGGTGGTACAGCTGTGGGCACTCAGCTGGGCTAAAAAACCACCAGCCTGGTTTCTAACAGTGCTTGCCAGCCAGCATCTGCTGAGTAGAGGCTACAAATACTTTGATTTGGATTTTTCTTCCTTTATGGCATTTGCTTTTTAATTGAACGCTCATTTTCCTTCTTTTTTTTCAGAAGGCAGCCTGTGTTGTATTGCATGCTTCCGTAAGATAGACCGAGTAACATGGGATCAGCTTCACAACATCCTATTATTACACGCACAAAACCTTCCAGGGAACAGTGTGTTAAAATACAATCGCATTGCATTAAAAAATGTAATAGAAGTAAATCAATAGCTGTTCTTTGGAAAACTGTTCTTTCATTCAGAAACTGCCACATTTCTTCTATTTTTCTTTACTTAGGGAAACAAGTAGAAAGCCACTTACTTCCTGCAGAAAAATATTCCTAGTTATAGTACCTATCAACTGTGATTTTTCACATTAAGCCCAGAGAAAAAATAAATATTAAAATGCCCACAGAAACTACAGCTAACAAGAATCCATATTCTTGTTCATTCTACAAGGAATCATGAATTCACCCAGCTAAACCCGCAAGTACTGATCGTGAAGATGATAGCAAAATGATAATATTGAGAAGCATTTTGTATAATGTTGACATCTATCCCATTACTGTTTTACATATGCCAATACTGAACGCTCATAAGGAAAGAACAAGTATTGACCTGCTAACTGACACTGATCCTTGGAGCAATCTCAAAGTTTGCCACATTTCAATTTCAAAATGCATTTCAGCTATAATATGAGTGATTTATCATTTAGCAGTAGCTGTCAAAGTAACCTCCTAGATAAAACAAAAACATCTGGAACCATAAACAGAGGAGAGCAGTAGCTGAATTTTAATCCAAATCCGACATGTTCACTTCATTAGGAACAGGAAACAGCTAATTAGTAATTGAATGTTTCATGGTTTTAAGGAGGCTCAGACTCTCCAAACAGAGAAGATTTAGTATGTATTTTGGATGTAAACAAGAATAAAGATCG